TCAGTGCACATGTATACATTAAATAATAAATGTATTTTTTATCACCATATACTGTGTTTTTGTTGCTCGAATGAATTTTATTATTTCTTCAAGGTTCTTCACATACGTACACCTTAAGAGATATCAAGTAGGCGTAACATGTTCTCAAAAAATTAGGGTTGGCACACAGAAGAATTTTGAGTCAGAGATTTTGCTGATTTTGGCACGCACTCACAAAAAGGTTGCCCACCCCTGTCCTAAGACCTAATTAATTAGGGAGTATCCTAATTAAGTTAATAACAATGTACCTACCTATATAGTTTAAGTTTAAAAAGTTTGGCTCTCAAAAGAAATTTCAATCGTTGTACTGTTGATATTTGGCTCTGTTGACTAATGAGTTTGCCAGCCACTGTTCTAGGCTCATCAAAGCTATATCTTTTTCAGAACAGTAGTACATCTATGAACCCTATTACTCTAATAATTAGCAGGCTAAAACATTGTAAGTCCAAAGTCTAAAAGAAATTCAGAAAGATGTATTAGGGTGAACCATATTGCCAATATTTAACAACTTTTGACCCGTAAAAATGGCTATTTTGTAAGATTTTAGCTATGGTAAACTGTAATGAAAGGCTAAAGGGAAATAAGATGCCTGGAAATAAAGGCTAAATATTTAGTGGACATTAGGGAGCTACGGTGATCAGTCATCCTGATTTGCCATGGACAGGGCAGTTTCCTGGTACATGAGACTTTCAGCACTAAAGTCAGGAAACTATTAAACAAATAAGAATCAGTTGGTTACCCTAGGGAGTAGCCACATCAGTTCATATTTTCCATTGGTATTAGAATTAGAGGCAGCATTTCTTATATAAAATGTTTTTCAATTCTCACCGGAAGCTATTTTTCCATTGGTTTTTTTTAGAGAGAGTGGAAAGGAGGGAGGGAGACAGAGAGAAACACTGATGTGAGAGAGACACATCCATTGGCTGCCTCCTGTATGCACCTTCCCCCACCAGGCCTGGGACTGAGCCTTAACCAAGGTACCCACCCTTGGCCAGAATCAACCCTGGTGTCAGTCTGTGGGCTGACACTCTATCCACGGAGCCAAACTGGCCAGGACTATAAATATATCTAACTGAACAAATTTACCTTATCAAGTTTGGTAGCTTTCCCTTTGGGTGCAGTAACTAGAGGAACTCTGGTGATCTCTACAGGCCACAATCGGCAATCAGCAATTCGCTTCTGAAAGCTGCATGTCAAGAATCAGACCATTAGCATTGCGTGCAAAAATGGAGTTAGTATAATTTAGGCTAAAGGGAAGTATTCCCCTCTTTTAAAAAGTAATGGAATACACATATATAAATGATTATTAGGTAAGTGGATTTTTTTAACCTTCTCAAATCTATAAAACTCTTGAAAATAATTCTGTACTGCTAGCAGAAGCAAATTATACATTTTTGAGAGCAATTTGGTAATATGAATCAAAAGCCTTAAAATGTGCATAATCTTTGACCCAGAAATTCCACTCCTAGTGATATTTTCTAAAGAAATAATCAGACAAAAATAGTAGAAAATATGTTAATCTCTACTGTGATAATGGAGAAGGGCTTCGAGTATCAGCTAACTGGCACCTAAAGAGCTTAGAAGTTTCATTACTTTCCTTACAACAAACAAAAGAAAGCTGATCAAACTGAAAAATCAACAACTTGTCTTAGATCCAAGAAACAAGGTCGCAGGGCAAATTGCCACTTTGAAGTTGGAGAGACAGTCAACTACAGAGAATCACAGCTGAGATCAGAAGCCGCTGGGGTCCTGTTACAGATAGAAACAATTAAGGGTAATTTTGACACATTGCTGGAGGCTGAGTGTGGATAAGCCAGAGAGTTAAAAACTCCTGGGGGCCCATTCCTAGGGGTTCCCCACACTTTTTTTAGATTTTAAAACAAGGAGCTCAGCAGTTTCTCACAGTGAAGATAAGATTAAAAATCCTATTAGGTGGAGAGAAGGAAAAGTAACCATTTTGAAATATGCCGAGTGTTCTCCATAACAAAGGCCTACTCTTTCAGGGAAACTACTTTACCAGAGCTTTATCTGACTCAGGGAAGGGCCATTAGGTACCTCCAGCCTCTTCTAGGTTTCCTGCCTCACATAAGGACAGAAAGAAAAAAAGGCTATTAAACGTTCTGAAGGTCAGAACCCAGAGACTCAAACCTATTAAAATACTGTTATTTGATCATAGGGCTATAGAACAATCCTCCTCCCCAATACCTTGCCACTACATCAACAGAATTTCACTATAATAACAATGGATTATAGCGGAGAGACTGCAAAACACAGACTCTAAGAAAGAGTTCTTAGGCAAACTCACAGACAGCAGGGGAAGGACAAAAAGAAAGGAAACTGAAGCCTTTAGCACCTACAACTAGAGCACACATTAAGGGCAGCCCAGCTACTAGCCGATTAACATAAAATCGCACATTAAAAAACCTAATTGCCAAAAAAATTACTCAGTACATAATGTCCAGCTTTCAATAAAAAATTATAAGATCAAGAGTACTGTCATTAGATAATTAAAAAATGGGCAAAAGACTTACATAGACACTTCTCTAAAGTAGACATACAAATGGCCAAGAGACATGAAATAAATGCTCAAAGTCACTGATCATCAAAGGGATGCAAATTAAAAGATCAATGAGGTATCACCTCACACCTGTCAAAATGGCTATCATCAACAAATCAACAAATGACAAGTACTGCTGAGGATGAGAAGAAAAGGGAACCCTAGTACACTGCTGGTGGGAATGCAGACTCGTGCAGCCACTGTGGAAAACAGTATGAAGTTTTCTCAAAAAATTAAATATGGCCCTGGCTAGTTTGGCTCAGTGAATAGAGCATCTGCCTGGGGACTGCAGGGTACTGGGTTCAATTCCAGCCAAGGGCACATGCCTGAGTTCTGGGCTTGGTCCCCAGTGGGGGGCGTGCAGGAGGCAGTCAATTAATGATTCTCATC